CCAAGCTCACCTGCCCTCCCCTTGCGCTCACCCCTCCCCGGTCCTGATGGGCAGGGTTCTCGTTGCTGTGACTGGCCCTGCCCCCCAGCAAGCCGAGGGCCCTGGAACACTGCGCAGCCCCATCATGCCAGTCACTGGGTTTGGCCCACAGGTGCCCACAACCTTCCCAACACCCTTTCCCCAGATGGGTCAGTGTGGCTCCAATTTATAGACGGGAAAACCGAGGCGCAGGGAATAAGGTGTTCTGTCCAAGGTCACACAGCCGGCCAGAGGCAGACCCAGGATTTGAACTCAGGCCCTCTGGGGTCTTCCTTCTACCCAACCACACGCCTCCTCCCGTGAGTGGGAAGGCGACGGTGAAGGCGAGTCTCGGGGCGGAGGTGACAGCTGCAATCCGTCCTCACCTCGGACAGAACAGGAAAGACCGGGTTCCACCGCGCGGATCTGGGTTAGACATCTGGGTGAACTTCGGCGTGAGCCAGAGCCGGGGGAAGGGTCAGGAGGGCAGGGGTGGGTGAAGGGAGGAAGCCGAGGCGACCTGGCTGTGGTGGGTCTGGGACGGGTGGGGCTGCGGTCTGGGGGCCAAGGGGCCGGGAGGGAGGAGCAGTGAGTGGAGGCTGGAGCTCAGGGGAGCAGGCAAAGTGTGAGCTGCCTGGGCCCAGCAGCCAGGCGGCTCCCGGGGTCGAGGAGCCGGGAGCCGGGGGCCTGAGCCGGGAGGTCAGCCTGGGTCTTGCCTGCTGCGGTCCGGGCCGTTTCCTTCCTCTGGGTGCGCGTGTGCCCACTGCCTCTCTGGGATGCCACCTGCCTGCAGCAGGTTCTTGGTCTTGCAGAGCCCGGCGCTCAGAACCACCGGGCCTGGGGGTCCCAGCTGTGAGTCCTGGTGGCCCTGGGAGTGGCAGGCCTGGCACCCGGCAGAGGCCTGCGGGGCGGTCAGGTGGTCAGCCAAATGCCCTGTGAGGGGAGCCCAGAGGGCCCGGAGCCAGGGCCTCGGGGCGAGCAGTGCCCAAGCCGGACCTGCCGGGCCCGCTCCCCTGG